CCACGTTAGGATGAGCATTAAAGCGTGTCATTGATCGTGACGTGTCAAGCTTGATAGTTTTGGGAGGAAGAGATAGATGATGACGGATAGAGTAATGAAACATTGGAATCAAAATCACTTGAACCGAAAAAAAACCAATGCAGTTGGTAGATGACTGGATCTTTTATGATGTCCTAGATTTGAATCAAGTTACGTGTATAGAAAAAACTTTGTTAGAAGAGGCAAAACTCATTTCAGTAATCTTCCGCGCTTTAGAAAAATTAATCTAAGGGGTGTTTGGTAACCTCTAAACCATGGTTTCAGAAGCACTTTTCTGCAAAACAAGAAAAATTCCTTCACATATTTATTTCGTAAACCGTAAAAACACTTCTAAAAATATGATTTGGTTTCTATCCAAACACCTCCTAATAAGTGTCTCTTTCTAGGAACCACGTTTGGCAAGGGAAAATCCACAATCACGTCAGGACTAATTTACAACATATGTTTTTTCAAACCTGTTTTAATAGAGACAATTGTGAAACATTTTATTAGTTTACACATAGTTTTTCTTTAGGACTTTTTTTTTTGGCCAGCTTCTTTAAGACCTTATAATAATTACTGTTTGATTAAATTGTGTTAGCACCATCTATTTTCATGATCATTAACTCATTCCAACTCCCAATGGTTTCATTCAATTCCAACAATAGCAAGGACAAAACCACTGCCATTAAACTATTGTGCTGAATTGTCAGTACCCCTAAATGCAGGCATTTTTTATGGCATTAGTTTTATTGAAAGAATTAGAATGAGGTCCAAAAAATAATAATAATTGAGCAAGTCTTAATATCAATTAAGTAGTTATCATTTATTATCTTATAACTTATCATTACAAGTTGTTCTGTTATCACTATAATTTTTTAATAATTATGTTTTTTACTTAGAATTTTATAACAATTATTTTGACCGTGATAAAATTCAAAGTACCAAACTTAAAGATGGGAGAAACTAAAATCGATTGATCTTTATTGTTTTTTTTTTAATTTGATCTTTGAGATTAATGCTTTTTGACACTTCTTGCGCCTTCCACTCATGTCAATATCATCACATATGAGAACAATTTGATCACCGATCTCCATAAGAAGAATTTGACTGATGATCCCCCGTACATTATGATTTTAAATGCATCCTAAAAGAAGATATCAAGTTGGTGCTTCAATCTTTCCTCAGTCATTATTTCTATAAAAGTGATATTTTATTAATCTTTTGTGTTTTGTATTATATTACTCCAATTGTAGTTGTATAACTTCATTTTATATAGTTGATATCTAAAAAAAAAAAAAGAAAGAGATTTTGATTCTTTTTAGGATTAAGGTGCAATTTTGACCTTGATCATATTTTTTAGATGCAATTTTGTCCCTAATCTTTTAGTAGTATAATTTTGTCCCTGATCTTATTTCTCAGGTGCAATTTTGCCTCTGATCTTTGGATGCAATTTTGACCTTAAGGGATAAAATTACAATAAAAAATAAGATCAAGGTCAAAATTGCACCACTAAAAAATCAAGGACGAAACTGTATTTAAAAAAATAAGATTGGGGTTAAATTACACTTTAACCCTTCTTTTTATTTATCACTTGTGTCATTTTAATGCTTCATTTCTAATTCTGGTCTTATTAATTATAGTAAAAATGAAGAAAGACAAAATATACTAGTATTTGATGTTCTCTAAGAATAAAAGTGTAAGATTTCATATATTTAATGCTCTTCTTGATATATAAAAAACTTTTATGAGTAAAAAATACTCCCTCTGGTTAAAAATATATGATAAACTTTATCTATATATATTTATCAAAAAAATTAATTAAAATCAGTTTAAAATAATAAATATGTAAGTCATATATTTTTTTTAAAATATACCCTTATTAATGAAATGAATAATTAAAAGATACAATGAGTGAATCAAAGAGAAAAGAAAATATATATAAGACAAAATTAGAAAAAACTCACAAAAGTAAATATTATCTTATAAATGAAAACCGAACCCGGTAACAAAATTTATCTTACATTTTGGGTGCAGATTCTCTCATCGTTTTTATGTTTCTTAGTATCTCTCAGTCCTAAGATCCCATCCATCCAAATGATCCAAAGGCTCACATGGCACCATCCTCAACCATTGGCCTCTCTCTCTCTCTCTCGCGACTCCAGGTCCCAACAGCTGGTTAGCATCCATTAGAAGGCAAGCGAATCGAAGGAAGAAAATGAGGCCGAGACGGAGGCAGTCGAAGTAGAAGATGCGTTTCGAGAGTCCGTAAAGCAAGAAGGGGGACTATTTTGGAAGCAAGCGTTCGACCTTGTGTCAAATGGATGATGATGACTTTCAAGAAATAGTGGGGGTATTTGGATACCATAAAAAATATATTTTTAAAAATAATTTATTTTAAATCGAAATAAATTTTTTTACTAATTTATTTTGTATATAATAAAAATACTTTTAAAATTATAATTTTAATTCTATCGAAACATAGGTCGGAGACTTTGATGGTGCTACGTGAAACCTTCACTTACTGAGTGGAGCATGAGCTTTGCAGAAATAAGCCGTCTCTGGCCATATTTTGCTCTAATGGCAGCTATAAACATGAGTATTTCTTATATTATATTTATTTGCCACTAAAATATAATCTCCGTTGTAAATGGCAGAGGGAGAGAGAGTGAAGTTTTGTTTAAGATCGGTAATTTACACTTGGGTTGCTTAATAACTAGCCTGTGTCAAGAGTGTAACGTATGAGTTGGGAGCTGAAGTTTCAGGTCCCAAGCAACTATATATGAATCCAAAATTACATGAAGTTGTTCCATTCAAGGGTATTGAGATAAATTTCTCAATATATTTATTTTGTATATCATAAAAATATTGTTAAAATTATGATTTTGATTCTATTCAAATACTCCTAATAGCCATTCTCATAATCAAAATGAGTCCAGATCCAAATCAAAATAAAGTATTATTATTTAGGGAAAATCATATTGGAAGTACTTATACTTTTTTCAATTTTAATTTGGTACCTATGTTTTTTTTGTTCTTAATTAAATCTTTAATTTTGCTCTATTAATATCATTAATCCTTATGTAAAGACTAAAAATATCAATAGAACAAAGTTATAAGAGCTAATGTTACTAAAAAGATAAAATTAAATGTTTAATTAAAGAAAAAAAATTACATAGGTACCAAATTAAAAATTAAGAGAAAGTATAGGTACTTTTATTATGGTTTTCCCTTATTATTTATTATCAAATCTGATTTAGAATATAATAATTTTCATTTTTTTAGTCATTTTTTAAAAACTACTATAAATAACAATTTGGTAAACCATTAAAGTCATTTCATCTACTCCGTTGGTCCTTTCCGTTCAATGACAAAGCCACCGTTATTGAATTATTGTACTAAATTGTCAGTGTCCTTTAATCCTAGACTCCTAGTAATCCCGGAGCACGGAAGATATTCCATCAAGTCTCTCTGAAAAGTTGGAGACCGTGTTTCATGTTTTGATGACTCCCTCCTGTTATATTCTCACGTCTCAAATTTATTGAATGAGCACCTCCGGCTTTATTTTTTTAAAAAAAATTTCAGCAAAATTGTTTTAATTAGTATAAAATCAAAAATAAAAATAATTTCTCAGTTATTTTTTAAGGAAAAAATAATTTTTATATATTTGTTTGATTATTTATTTTATAAAGCTTTATTTTTTAAAAAAATATTTTTAATATAATTTTAATTTCCAATGACACTAATTTTAAATTTTAAATCGTAAATAATTTTTTTCACAAATATGTTTCTTAAATTTAATTTTTAATTAACATTGATAAGATATATATTTAGTTATATATCTATTATATTATATTATATTATCTCTGTGTTTATATATTTGATGAAAACTATTTATAATTAGTAAAAAAAATTTGTTATTCAAAAAATAGCTATTATAATAAAATATAATAAATTATTTTATATAAAAAAAATTAAATGATTTGAATAGATTATGATAAACAATATTTTTCTACTTATATATGTATCCTATATATTTTATTTTCTTAAATTCTTTGTATATACCGTTTGTTTTGCATTAAAGACAAAATCAATCAATATCATGAGTATTAATTATATCATGATTAAATTTTATTGTTTAATGATTAAAATTCAAAATTCGCTTCAATATTAGTTTGATGTGTAACCATAAATTGAGGTTTTCATATAAATTCATTTTTTGATTTTGAATTTTTATCATATTTATATTTTTCAATATATTATACATATGATAAAATTATTTCTTTCTTATATTAGTTGTAAAAGAAAGTTGTTAAAATTCTTATTATATTTTTTCAATTATTATTAATAATCAAGAGAAATTGATTTTAATGAAATATAAACAAATTTTCTAAGAAATTATCTTCCTATTCTCAGTATATATCTAATGATGACGTCATGATGATACTTTCATTAACACCAATTTTGTAGCTAATTCTATTCTATCGCAATTTCATTGCTATATTAGCTGGGGAAATTTTTGAGGAAAAAAATTTCGTTGCTAGATATTCATTGACGGATTAGTAATTGACAGAAATTTCGTTACTAAAAATTCCGTCGGAAACTAGTGATAGAATAATTTTTTTTGCTAATTTTGTTGGTAATAAGCTGTTTTTTTTTTGGTAGTGTTTTCATAAGCATCCATATTTCTTCATGTTGTCAAAAAACAAGTTGCATGGACGTATACAATTTGATACATGAGTCAGCATGGTTGACAGCATATTATAAATTTTAAAACATGCTGTGGCGAAATTGTTTCTAGAATTTCAACCCGTCACCTCTAAATTACATGGAAGCAACACCGGTGTTCGAATGGCAATAATATAATCTAGGGTTTCACTGGGATATAATAAGTTGTGGGATTTATAAAGCTAGGAGGAAGAAGAAGAAGAAGCGGACTCGCCATTCTGCAGTACGTAGGCTCATCACTGTGATTCTCATCAACAATGTTTCAGCTTCTTCTCTCATCCTTTCTGCTTTGCTCCTCCTTCATTATAGAGCTTCAGCTGCAACCTGCGTATGCCATTAATAAAAAGGCAAGTCTTTGTGTGTGTGTTTCAATCTTAGTTCTTAATTAATGTTCTTTGATAATTTTCTTCGTCGTGTGGTTATTGTCAAAACCACCTTCATTAATTTCATCACCCATCACTTGCAGTCCTACATTGTATACCTGGGATCCCATTCTCATGGCCCCCGACCTTCTACTGCTGATATGGACTCTGCTACGAACTCTCATCGTGATTTGTTCGCTTCTGTTCTGGGAAGGTACTGTCTGTTCAATTCAATCTCAACATTGTCTTCATGATTAATGTTGATATATATATATATATATATTTGTGTTTGGCAGCCATGAGAAGGCCAGAGAAGCTATGTTTTACTCTTACAACAAGCACATCAATGGCTTTGCTGCATTACTCGAAGACGAAGAGGCACAAGAGCTCAAAAGTAAGATTTTTCTTTTTTTTTGAACTTCATATGAATCGTCGTCCTCATCATCTTTTACAGACGGAGTGGTTCAGATCTGTTTTTAGTATGAAAGCAGACCTGGAACATGAGGATTGAGTTATGGGAGATGATGAAGAAAGTATGGTTGGGAAAATGATATATGTGCAGAAAATCGAAGGGTGGTGTCGGTGTTCTTGAGCCAATCACATAAGCTGCACACAACCAGGTCACGGGACTTCCTTGGACAAGAGAGGAACGGAAGAGTTACACTGGACTCTGCCTGGGTGAAGGGCAACTTTGGTCAAAATGTCATCATTGGCAGCATTGATACTGGTAATGATTGCTTCTATATCTCAATAAATGCGTGTATTCTGTCGTGTGCTTTTGATTTTCCTGTCAGAGCAAATGAGTTACTTTGTATTCCCATTCTATATATAACCAACATTTTCTTGCATAAAATTAATCTTTACTTATAAAAGGTGTTTGGTAACCCTTAAAAGCAGTTAAAAAAAATGTTTTTATGTAAACCTAAATAAAAATTTTCTCACATTTTTATCTATAAAATCATTTTTAAAAAGCTAATATGAATACCGTCAAATATAAGTAATATTTTTTGTTTAGAATACTCTTTTTTAGCCCAACAACATGCATGTCTATCTTATCAGCTTTCCCCACATAGTATCTCTCACTCTTGCTCCACTCATTCCGTCCATTACTCACCGTCTTCATGAATAAAAGGGTATCTTTGAAACAGAAATTACCTTTCTTATATATTTATTACTTTTAACCAATTTGAACCAACATTTTGATTTATGTAATTTTTAATTAGCTGTTGTGTCTATATATAAAAGACTAAAAGGAGTATTAATATTAAACTTTTTATATTTTTAAATATATGTAAAATTAAAGTTAATAAGTCATCTATCTTTCCTTGAATAGGTGTCTGGCCAGAATCGAAAAGCTTCCGGGACAATGGATATGAGCCCATACCGAAGGGGTGACGTGGAGGATCCAAAATGTGAGATGTTCAGTTTGTCTAGCGTTTCTAATAGAACTCTTTGCAACAGGTTCCATTTTTATCACTGATTATTTATTTATTTATTTTTGCCAACGATCACTATTTATTTAATTTGAATGCTTGGTTTAAAAGGCTTATTAATTTCGTTACCAAAAATATAGCGACAAGGAAATGGACAATTCGTTAACGGCTAGTAAGAACTTGTGATATGGCAGTGTGTGCAAGAGACTTCGACGCCTCACTATCTACGAAATATTGATACACTATAATATACTTCTCCGGTTTTTAATATAAATATTATTTAACTAATTTAATTAGATTAACAAATTTAGCTAAGTTAGCTAATTATAAAAAAATTCTGTCGCTAATTCCGTTAAATAAAAAATTCCGTCACTAAAAACATTTTTTTTGTAATGAATCAAGTAGGAGGGGGAGGAAAAATATTAACAAAGATGATTAGCGACAAAGGAATTAGCCACGTGGCACTCTACCAATTACCACGTCATCACCGGAGACCACCTCCACGTGTTGTTGTCACCTTACCTCTGTCTGTCACGTGTGGCGCCACATGTCGCCAGGACCTCTCCATCCATGGCTTGAACCCAGGACCGTCTCTGTGTGCGTGTGCGACTTTACCAATTGAGCTGCAATGAACTTGTTGACTTATTATGTAAAATTAAATGTATATAATATTATTTTACACAAACAATTATATATACATATATATTATTAAAAACTAAAAATATACTATATGATAATTTTAATCATAACTATTTTAATGAAAAATAATTTTTAAATATTTGTTTTATAATGTTTTATTTTTTTTAAAATATTTTTAATATAATTTTAATTTCTAACGACACTAATTTTGAATTTTAAATCATAAATAATTTTTTTATAAATATTTTTTAAATTTATTTTTTAATTAACATTGATAAGATATACAATTTAATTATATATGTATTATATTACATTATATTATAATATCTATATATGTTTTATATATTTGAAGAAAATCATTTACAATTAGTCAAAAAATCTTGTTATTCAAAAAATAACGGGTTAAGGTGTGCCTAACACCCCGAATTATTTTCTCAAGTGCGCCTAGTGTCCTAAAGTAATTTTCGGTTCATCCATATCCAGGGCTAACAGAAAAGTTAAGTTTGACTGTTACCTTACTGATAGAAAAATCTCACGTGGCGAGCATGCAGGCGTCTGTTATGTATTTTTGATGTGTTAAGGAAGGCCCAGCACCCCGAACTATTTTCCCAGGTGTGCTCAGTGTTCTAAAATAATTTTTAGTGCATCTAATGTCCTAAGCTAATTAAAACAGTGTGTCAACATCCCAGGCTAACAAAAAAGTCTCATTTGACCGTTACCTTGTTGACTCAACTAAAGGTTGACTAAAAAAATTCTACATGGAGGAACGCAAGAGTCTGATGTGTATTATTTTAAATGAAAATTCAATTTATTTGCTCATCTTCTAACATTTATCTTCTGCTAGTTTTTAAGCTTAAAAAAAAAAAGAAAGACCACCGATCCACCCTCTTAAATCCTGATACATGTACCACCCATTCAATCACATTCTCGTCTTCAACATTTTATCCCATTTCTTGCACCATTTCGATTTGAAACCGCAACCGCCGTCACAACACACTTTCGTCTCTGTCTCTATCAACTCTTCATCCGACTCGTATTTGCTTTCCTCCTTGTAGAACACATTAAACTTCCCCTTGGTCACTCTGTCGACATCACCGTCACCTCCCGAGAAAACACCTACCACCACCGGGCTCGTCTCAGGAGCTTTAGTAAAAATAATACACATAAGATGCTTGCGTGTCCGCCATGTAGAATTTTTCTGTCAACCTTCAGCTGAGTCAGCAAGGTAACGGTGAAACGAGACTTTTTTGTTAGCTTGAGATATGGACGCACTGTTTTAATTAGTTTGGGATATTGGATGCACCAAAAATTATTTTAGGACACTGGACGCACCTGAAAAAGTAGTTCAGGGTACGGGCGCACCTTAACTTATCAAAATAATACACATCAGATGCCTGCGTGTCTGCTACATAGGATTTTTAGGTCAACCTTCGGCTGAGTCAGTAAGGTAACAGTCAAACTTAACTTTTTTGTTAGCCTGGATATGGATGCATCGTTTTAATCATTTGGGACACTAGATGTATCGAAAATTATTTTAGGACACTGGGCGCACCTGGAAAAATAGTTCAAAATGCTGGACGCACCTTAACCCAAAAATAACTGCTATAATAAAATTTAATAAATTATGCTATATAAAAAATTAAATGATTTGAATAGATTATGATAAATAGTATTCTCCTACTTGTATATATATCCTATACAATTTATTTTCTTAAAATTCTTTGTATATACGATTTGTTTTGTATTGAAGACCAAAATCAATCTATATCATGGGTATTAATTATATCGTGATTAAATTTTATTGTTTAATGATTGAAATTCAAAATTCACTTCAATATTAGTTTACATTTATATAAATTCATTTTTTGGTTTTGAATTTCCATCATATATTATATATTTCAATATATTTTACATATAATAAAATTATTTCTTTCTTATATCAGTTTGTATAAGAAAGTTACTAATATTCTTATTATATTTTTTAATTATTATTAATAATCAAGAGGAATTTATTTTAACAAAATATAAACAAGTTTTCTAAGAAATTGTCTTTCTATTTTCAGTATATACATAATGATGACATGAATGATAACGATATCTTCATTAACACCAACTCCATAAATATATCAATTTATTTTATAATTAAAAATGTTTTTAAATCATTATATTCTTAATTGTTATTATATAAATTTTTGTAAGATTATAATTTAAAATAAAAAATTTAAAATTAGTGACGGAATAGAATTAGTGACGGAATTAGTGACAAAAACTTCTGTGACAAATAATTTAGCGATGGAATTAGTGATAAAAATTTCTGACGGTTTTTGTTATTAAATATTTATTGACGGATTTTCTGACTGATTAGCGACGGAATTTAGCGACTGGCAGAAATTAGCGACCAAATTTCCGTCGCAATTCGGTCAAAAATTAGTGACGGAATTTGTTTCCGTCGCAAATTCCGTCACTAATCAGTTGTTTTTTTTATAGTGATTATAGTTTGGAGAGTATTTATAGGAATAATTTAAAAAAATTAATAAATATAAGAAATAGTTCTTATATTTAAAATTAAAATTAATTTAATAATTAGGTCTTATATTAAGAATAAAAAAAATATTTACTTCACCCACAAAAAAGAAAAGAATATATAATACATTACTTATAAGTGACGAAGAATTGGACAATTCACAATTGGTTCATCTCAATGATGGATCGCATGGGGCTACCACGGGCGCACAACTTCCGACTATTTTTATGCATTTCTTTATTTTGCCGGGCAAACAATTCTAAAATTAATTTTAGCCCCTCATATTCCATAAAATTTTCAATTTTTCCCCCACATCATTTGTGTCTCTTTAGAGCCATATCCTTCACTAAGTCATCTTAGATTATCTACATCAAAATTATTAAATGGGCTAAGATGTAATTTTGAACTTGATCTTATTTTTCAGATACAGTGTTGCCTCTAATTTTTTAGTTGTGTAATTTTGCCCCAGACCTTATTTATTAAGTACAATTTTGTCCCTGATCTTTTTTTCTTAGGTACAATTTTGCACCTATTCTTTAGGTGCAATTTTGATCCTGAGGGTTAAAATTTTGACAAAAAAAAAAAAGAGCAGCGTCAAAATTGCGTCACTAAAAAAATCCAAAACAACTTGAAAAATAAAATTTAAAGTTATACCTTAACCCTTATTAAATTATAGAATTGATCTACAATTTTTTTATTCGAACATTATCAAGTTCAATTGTAAATAACTCTCTAAAATTGTTTTTCGCTTCTATACATACTCAAATTCGAGATCTGATATTTAAGCAATTAAAGCCTCTTCGATTAAAAGCACTGCATGTTGGTGCTTTTAATTATATGAAAATGGTATGTGCTAGCCGTAATTGTTCGTATATGTCTTGATATAACTATTTTACACGAGTCTGAATCACTGTCAGCTCAATCAAATTTATTGTACATGGCTCAATTATGGTTCGTTACTATTATTATCATTTTTTATTGTTACTTTTAATTAATTGAAGTATACATATGGTAAGCCAATTTTTTTCACACTTAAAATTCCTGTTGTTGGCTTTAAATTACATTAATTTCTTTCAACTTTACTAGAATTATTAAAAAAAAAAATTCAAAATTGCTCCTACACAATCACAAACATTTCACTGTTGTTCACTTCTTCGCTTCAATTTAATTTTCCCCTATGAAAATAGTACCCATTAACTCATTTGTAGACACACACTCCAAAATTTAATAAGAAGAAAATCTATATATATCCATATACATGCTCACGTTCTATGTAACATGATGAAACAGGAAGATAATAGGAGCAAAAACCTTCTTTCAAGGCTACGAAACAAAAAACGGCCCCCTTAGCTCATCAACTCGAATCAGTGCCCGTGACACTGTTGGCCATGGAACCCATACTTCGTCAACGGCCGGCGGCAACTTTGTGAGAGATGTCAGCGTTCTCCGAAATGGCAACGGCACTGCAAAAGGAGGATCTCCAAAAGCCCGACTTGCAGTGTACAAAGTATGCTGGGGCCGCGATAATTCTGAAGAGTGCACTGATGAAGACTTGATTAAAGCTTTTGATGAAGCCATCCATGATGGTGTTGATGTGCTCTCTTGATTAAATGTTACTCGTATAGTAACAAATGTTGGGCCTCCAAGCACATATACTGTAAAGGTTAAAGCCCCAAGAGGAGTTGAGGTTGTTGTCCTTCCATCAACTTTGAGCTTTCAGAGGACAAACCAAAGGAAGAGCTATCGGGTTATTTTGCAGGCAAGACGTTCAGCCAAAACTTCAGAGCCATCATTGGGAGAGTTCACATGGACAGATGGCAAGCACAAAGTGAGAAGTACTATAGTAATCCCTCAACATGCAAAAATGGCTCTGTAGATTTCAATGTTGCCAATCTAGTTTGTTGTGTGTTAATCAGATAGTGAGAGGTAGTGTTAGAGTGACTGTTTTCAGATGCGTGGATATGCTGAACTATGTTATAATTTAAACATGACGGTTCCTACCGGAAAATAAACCCGCTAGGTCCTCCCAAGCAACTTCAACTTCTGATTTACTGCTTTTGGTTTCTACTTTCTTCTATTTGAATCCTATTGGGTTTCCATTTTGCCCCTGTTTTGTTGAATCATGTGTTGGTCTTTCATCTGCAGAAAAATGATACTGTGCACTTATTTTGAAGTACATAAAGCACATATTAGCCCATATAAAAGGCAACTTTGAAAATAATCTTATTGAGAAATAGATCAATCATCCTCCTGCCCAAGACTTGGTGAGGACAAAGAAACAAGGCTCACTATCCACTTAACTCATTATCCTTGGCAATCATTATTTGACATGAAAATAAGAACGGTAATGACCGGCTATTTGAACTAGTAATTTATACCATTCAAATCCAAATATAAAGGCCAAGTAAACCAAATGATATATCTGGTTAAATTCTGTTATGATGCCTGTCCCTAAATTATATTCATGTGAAACAGAGCTAGTTAATATACAAGGATTCAATGCAAATAGCAATCGAAGACTTACACTGCCATAACCTATCTAAGAAATCAATATACCAAGATCATTAAGTTCGCTGTGGAAGCTTAGGTCAACGGCAGTGGCGCAGTTGCTCGATTCAACGACAGATTAGGAGTGTCTACGGTCGATTGAGAAAATTGGGAGGAAGGTCATGGAGAACGTGAAGGCGGAGGTTGAACCAGAAAATTTGTGTATATTTTCTAGAAAAACAAATTTTATTTTTGTTTGTGCATTAAAAGAAAACATCAGAGTTCTGTTAAAACAAAAAAGTTGATTTAATTTAGCCTAATTTTAAATTTTTGTAAAATACTGAAGTTGCAGTTTTTTTTTTTTTTTTAAAAAATTATTGATGGAATCCTATTTCATGGAATCCTCGACAACAATGGAAGAAGGGAGAGTCCACGAAGAAGCAGAGTATGTCCAAATATTCTAGATGATGCTGTCATCGCCCATCCACGCTAAGTTTGGGCTTTTGCCCCGTTTTACCAAAAGACAAAACTAGAAGGAGCGCACATGACCAATCAGTTTTTTTACTTGCTATGATAATTTTTAGTAATTACCTTTATTTGTTGAGATTTAACGGTGATTCTCCCGCATTTATAAGTGAAATCTAAAAGGAAATTAATTAAGGGAAATTAAAACTAGGTAGGCTGAACCGTTGAAATGCTATTGGAATTATTGGAGAAATTTTTAAATACTTTGAGAATACCACATCATTTATGCTTTCCCATTAAAATCACATCTCAAATGTTTTTTTTTTCCTCTTGCACAACTTACCTGGCATTTTTCACTTGATGGAGTCTATTATTTTAATATTTCCTCTGAGTATAAATACAAGAGTTAATTTAAGAATTTATTTTAATATTAAATATAAGATTTCAATCTTTTTTTTCCCTTCAGTTCATATTTTTTAACCAATCCATATTAATTATATTATATTAAATGGGCTTTCCATGAATGGGGTAATGAATAAGAGAGTATTAAAAAAATAAACGTACTTATATTATAATAATTAACTTAACTAATTTATATAATATTTATAAATTAGTTATCAACTTTATAAATGTGTGTTCATATGTGCACATGAAACAGGAGGGCATATAACATTTTTTCTAGAATTATGTTTTCTTAATCTCCATCTTATCTCTAGCTACTATCAGTAATCAATTATTTGTTAGGGAAGCGATATATGTTAGGGAAGTGATATATCTCTATCCACCTTTTTTTTTTTTTGCCAGAGATGTATTGCATTTATTAAACTATCAATTTTTTTAACCAAAACTATGAAATATCACTAAATTAAAGCTAGGATCATATACATATGCATGCAGTATGAAATAAGTTATCGTAGTATATAATATTAATGATGGCTTATGAAACTTTCTATATTATAATCCTCACACCGCTAAAATGTTGTTGTATGTTTCACACTTTATAATTGTATATTAGAATTTATACATAACATGGAGAATCTTCTTAAATATTTGCATTGACCTCTGGTCCATAAAGGAATTAAGAATTGACAGGAAAGCGGGTTTAGGTATTCACATATATTTTAAATGTTAAATTGGTGTACTTTTATCTGGTTTCAATAACCACAATACAATTTTTTTTAGCGTTAATATAATTTTTAGTCCTTTAAGTTACTATAGATTTTGATTTGTCGAATTTTTTTTGTTGGTCTAAAACATTGGTTTCTAAAATTAAATAAAACCTGGACCATTTTATCTCATGAAAAAGCAAAACTACTAGTTTAAAAGTTGGTAGGCTAAATATTGTATTAACTTTTTTTTTTTGGTTGCATTGTCATCCGCAATAATTGACAATGAATATTGCACGTGTACCAGGGTTGAATAATATATGCATATAATAGATATTATACATAACCAAATAATAAAATTAAATTGATATGTTAAGTTTTTTTTTCCGTAATAAGGAACATATTATGGGCTCCCTTTTCTTTTGTTAATTGTCTTTTTAATTGTGCTAAGCAAAAAAAACAATGCCTCATTTGGTTGCATTTTTACACGGTGTATAATGTAAAGCCTGAAAAGAGAATCTTATAATCCTTTTTGCATCTAAAATTTGGGATGAAAAATGATTCCATCAAATTGATCTTTGGTTAAAGTGTGATTCTCTAATCTTCTCCTTTCTCATCCACCACTATCCTTCATCAAATTAACCATCCTCATCAATTTGTTGTTAATATTATTTTTTTAAAAAATACAATTTTTAACTAATGACCAAAGGTTTTCATTAAGTTACTCCATTCGTCGCTTATTATAAGCAACATAAGACTCTATTACATAAATCAAAAAGTTAGTTAAAGACAATAAATAGATAAAAATTAGAAGTTCTTTATCTAAAAACACTTGTTTATAGGGAAGAGAGAGTATAAAAAAGAGAATAAGAAAATTATTATAATAAAGAGAATTATGAAAGGGAGAGAATGTGTGATGAAGAGAGATGATGGTCTGAAAAATGAGACAATAAATATATTGAATATTAAAATAAGTAATTAATAAGGGTAAAATAGGAAATTTACTACAAAAATTTAAGACAACTTGAAAATGTTGTTTATATTTAAAGATAAGAAGGAGATGGTAGTTGTTGCTTATAAAAAAAGACAGAAGGAGTATATAATATAATATTTGACTATAAATATGTTAAAGTTACTTTATAATGAGTTGTATAACATAACTTGATAACGATATAAACACGGTAACTTTAATTATTAGGATTGAATATTTTGGCTTTTTGGCAAAAAAAATATTTTGGATTCACATTGTCAATATTCCCTTACTTTAGTCGGAGGACACCATTGTTTCTTCCATTGACGACTCTTACTCTTTCTAGAAAAGCATACATTAATTAGTTTCATTACAAAAACGAAAGAAATACAGAGAAAAGCAAACGTGTGTTTATCATCAACAAACATTATCATTGACCTTTGGCCCAAAGGGACATTAAAAAATTTATTGGCCTAGAGAGTGTTTACATATTTAAATTCTTCAAAATTCCAAATTGGTGTGCTCTCGGCTTCTGTCCCGGCCCCACTGTATAGTTGGGTTTCCACGGTCCCTTTTTCTTAATGTTTATTTGGGTTCATTGTCATTTAATTACTAGAGGGCACATAGGGTAAAGAATGTTAAGAAATAAAATAAAAGAAAAATATATATCATGTGTCTTAATTTATAAAATAAATTGAATTACAACAATAAACAATGATGGATTAATTTTGAACGGGGTGATACTTTCCCTTTCCCATTCAGATAATTATTTTGGGATATGATAAGATATAATAACACACAATCACGTGGGATGACTAATTATTAAGTCAAAAGTGAAGGTATTATTGTATTGTTTATCCCCGAAAAATAATTGATAAATTAAGGTATTTGATTCTATTTACCTAACACATTGCTAACTTTGTTGGAACAATGAACATTAGTGCCCGCTGGTTAATAACGTTAGTGATTATATATTATCACTTTAAGTAAAGCGTAACATTTTAAAATTTTTAAGATGTCTCACGAATTTTAGGGTAAAACATTTGGTAGTGTTAAATATTGTCACCTATTATATATTCTATAAAGGTGAAAAATATAATGCTCAAAGCAAACATTCACTTAATTCAAGCAACATAACTGATCATACCTATGGTACATATGATCTTTGAGAGCTTACAATTAATTATGTTCATCAACATGTCAACTAATTGACGAGTTTAGCCGTTCATTAGTTGTCCAATTGTGATGCTGACTAATGGTTCTTCCATGTGAGACTTTGGTTGCCGTTCAAGCTCCGTAGATACTTGTTCCATTGTTGGACGAGAACGAGGATCCTCATTCAAACAAGAAAATGCTATTTTTGCAACTGCAATAAGCTCATCAATGATTGATTTTCTAGGTGGTGAAAGTCGTGGGTCTAGCACATCCTTTAATAGCAAATCATATGTTGTTGATTTCTCCATCAAAGATGAAATAAGCTCTCCTGGATGCATTCCCATAATGATCTCCAAAGTCAACACTCCAAAGCTGTAAACATCACATTTCTCGTTTGCTTCCATAACATAAGCAATCTCTACA